ATAAAAAGCCTATCATATGGAAGCTTTGAACGCTGACTATCTCTTGCGTATAACTCATTTTATTTAACTGTTAGGTTTTGGAAAATGCATTTTATATGGAATGTGATGTAAAAGTAGACAACATATCAAACATTTGGAAGTCATCTTGATGTCTTTGAAACCAAAGATCAAAGATTGGACCTTTCAAGTTAATGAGCAAACAAACAGATCAGAGAAAGAATTTGACAGCAATATGTCTTTTTTATTGATATTTATAATCTACAGTTGTAATCTACTCTTTATAACTAGGGGTACTAACTTATTTGAAATAAATAGAATGGGGATACTTTTCCCTTTTTAAAGAGAGCGATCAGGATTGTATAATGGCATTTGAAGGAGTTAAAGGCTGTTTTGATAAAAGTCGAAAGCAGAAGAAAATGCTATCTTTGCAAAGTAAAGTAAAGCTCTTAAGTGCTAATAATGCTTGTTTCTCTTCTAAATGATAAACCTATGGATTGGTTTTAGGATATTGAATTTGAAGTAGCGAAGGCTTTGTATCTATATAGCACAGAGTGGAGATTCAGTGATTTTATGATAAATTTGATCAATGTAGGCTACTAAATCAAATAATTTGATAGAAGCATGGTTTTTAGATCTCCATTTGTCAAATGGCTTAATTTTCACTTTACTTTGTTAGGTAGCTTTTGTCATATTTCCATTTTATGAGTAGTTGAACAAAGGCAAAACTAAACAAAAGAACATGATAGATATCGTGGTTTGCTTGACGATATCTACAGCCATTTGCAGAGGGCTTAGTGTGTGCCCATGTGTTGCATGCCTCATTTCATCTATATTCTCCACAACGTCGTCTGATGTTAGAATTGATATGTCTGATTTTAGAGATAAGGATTTTGAAGCCATAAGAATATATAACTTGCTGCAGTATCCCAGATAAATTTAATGAATGTTGTCCAAAGTGTGTATGGCTTTTTGGAATGCTTTTCTTTCAAACACCATATATTTACTTCTTACATGCTAGAGAGTTTAGACAACTAGTAATTTCCATGTAGTCAGTTTATCAACAAGAACTTAAAAAAAAAATTTAGTGGTGTACCAACAAGTGACAGTAAAAGTACGAGAACTCTATAAGCCAGGATCAAAATAATTTCTCACAAAGCTAGTTTTAAAAGATTATATAGAGAGTTTTCTCTGATAGAGCAAAGCAGAATGGAGTCCATTGCAATGAGTTTATATCATAACTCAGACAATGATATGACAAGCAGTGTTTCTAAATTCTGTCTAAAAATCTATTCATTCTTTTAAATTGTAAGTGATAGTGTTTGTTAAGATCAAATAGGAAAGAAAAAGAAACCAAGATGTTTTCGATGATGTCGAAATATGGGCTCTAGCTTAAGTTTGATGTACAATCCCTTCCCTGAAGGCCAATTGAAGGACTGAGAGTGCACAGTGAATGACTTATTACTCTTCCTCTGAAGGAGAATGTCTTTTTTAAACAAAATATTTCTCAAACCATTATGTTCAACACTGGCAAATGAATTTTAAGAATACGTCAAAGTTTCCTCACTGTTGATGACAAAGTTGGATTTAAAATCTTTTAAAATAAAATTACACTACATTTGACTTTTCAGTTCAGTACATGTTTTTGCTTTGGTGCGTGAGATACTATAAATGTTCTTTGAGAGTGTAAAAAAAGCAAGGTCGGTAAGGTAAGATAGATGGGTTAATCATTCCTTAGAGTAAGAGTGTAAGAGTTTATTTATTCATTTATTCCCCGCCCCCTTCATTCCGATACATATATATTTTCCCCTAATGGGAGAAAGAAATCTGGTTAAAAATTTACCAATGAAAGAATCAGGAACAATTATTCAAGCCATTTAAGTAACAATTACTGTATATACCAAAGAGATTTATATATGTAGGTGGTGGCTGGAGTTAAAAACATGCATGACCTGCATCAATAACAGAGAAGTGCTGCAGGACTCGGCTGCCCTCTTTGCTTCTGCCATGTAGATGAAAGGTACATGACAACTCGTTTTTACAAAGTGCACCACACTAGAGCAGTACGTTTCAAACTCTGATTCCTTAGTCCAACCTGATTTTGTATTTTAACATTTCTTTGTTGATTTTCATGTAAACTCACTTATGAAAACCACTGTAACGGTGATCTGCTTGGTTAATAATCTTTTATTGTAAGATGCAGACATGCTTTAGTGTAAATTCCTGTCATCAAAAATCTAAGGATGGTAAGCTAGCCCTAAAGTGACCCCCCACAGTCCCCCATTTGTACAAAAAAAATGGTACAAATGTACCAAAAAATGATATGTTTCCCCTCTCAGATTGCACCTTAAAATGACGCAAATAGAATCAACCAAAAACATAGAGATGCAGAGGTCCCAACCAGAATCTCAGATGGTAGAACTCAGCTATTTGCATGTTTTAAAAACTCCTTGGGTGATTCTAATGCACAAGAAATGGCAAACTCTCATGCAGCAGGGTTGAGAATACAAGGAGTAGATCACAAGCTCTACTCTTTACGAGTGGAGTGGGAAAGTTCAGCTCTTTCAATAGGTGAGACTTGAGCTGATTCTTAAAATGTTAATAACTGTTTTCCAGGTAGACTGAAGAATCAGGAACCTTAGCCTGCTACTCCTAGAAGCATAGTATTTAAGTCACGTGATGGATGCATGGATGGGGACCTAAGAGCTTTTCTAAAAAGTGGGAATAATGTGTGCAGTCTGGCTTGAAAGGAGGAATGTAGTCCACTGGAAGAAATGAAAGAAGGCCTATGTGTCTGGAGCACGGAGAGCAAAGGGAACTTGGGGGAACAGATGACATTATACAGATAGGCAGGGAACTGTGCACAAAGGGTCCTGACAGCCAGGCAAAAGCATCAGGTTGCTCCTAAGAGCAATCATTGAATGCTACGATTGGATTTTCATTTTCATGATTTTGTGTTGACTCCTTGCTGTATGAATAATAAGAGACTGGAGGTGGGAAAAGTTGAAGCTGTTAAGAGGCTATTGCAGGATTCCAGGGATGGAAATGTGGCAGCTTGCATTAGGAGAAGCCAGTTGAAATGGATAAAATTGGTTGAATTTGAAAGCTATTAAAGAATTAAATGTGTGTGACACACAGATTATATGCTATATCTTTTGGAATTTTATTAGGAATGTAAAACTGAAATAAATTGCCAAATGGGAAGATAGAAGAGCACTATAGATAAGATTAAATAAATAATAAAATTATAAAAAAGTAACTTTAAAAGTCAAAGTTTAATGCAGTCAGTTAAAGAAAAGTAGAGTTCTTGTAGCTGAGGGAGCTGTGGCCAGCTCATGATATCCTGCAGGAGTCATAGCTATGAATGGACTTGTCTCACTGAGGAACTAGACTTGTCTTTCTTATTGGAATACTATAGAATTATTTTTACCCACAGCAGGGTAAAGCATCAATCAAAGATAAAACCCTAAAAGTGTCATCAATTGGAGATGGAATAACACCAGTAAATGCAGAGAAGGGACAAGTGGGATGTGCACATTTGTGACAAGGCAGAGTTGAGGACGAGAGATTTGCTGAAAAACACAAAGAGAATTTTAAGAGAACAGGAAAGAAAATGTTCTGAAACATCTTTGGAGGAAATGAGTAACTGGGGAGAAAATTCAATCATAGGAAGAAGAGAGAATCAGTTCAAGTTTGGGACTTAAAAGGCGATAAATGCTCAGTCCAGATTCAGATGAATTCTTTGAAAATAGATCAGTGCCTTTTTAGGGGACGGTTATCAGTTTTTCATGCAAAGCTCCAATCTGAAGGTCTCGTGTTGAAGTGAAAGTCGGCAAGGCCTTTTTAGTCTGATCTGAAGGAAAGGTGAGGTCTCCTAACCTCTAAAAACAGCAGTAATTTCTAGGAAAAAAGACTTTCCTGAGGCTATAACTTATTTGCTATAGTAACTAGAAGCGATGATTAGTGGGGAGGAAAAGGAGGAGAGAGTTGTTCAGTCTCTAATCCACCAGCTGGGAGTAGAAATAAATCACACAGATAAATTCAAACCAGGCTGAAGCACTGTAGTCAGAAACTATGAAGCAAAGAGTAGGGCGTGGAGGTGATGGTATATATCCTCTTGTAGACTGTTATAAAGTTTCACAATAAGGAGACATCTTTCATGCATTCCGGTGCCTGTTATTTTGGTAAGGATGCCAAGATGAAGTGAATTGACTTGGTAAAAGTTCACACAGTTAAGGAAAACAAGCCTCCCTGCTCAAAAACCTCTGCTGGCTATGTCTAGCCTATAAATAAAGTATGGCCTTAGCTTTCTGTCCTGTAATCTGGTCTCAAACTCTCTTTCTAATCTCACGTCCATTCCTATCTCCTGTTCTCTGGCTGATCAGAGAAAAAGACTGTTCTGGATGAACAACTTGGCCAAGTGGATAAAACTGTCCCCTTTGGGACTAGAATGCCAGAGGATGGAAAGTTGGGGGAGTGAGTTGTGGGACAGGGATAGACCAGATAAGGACAATGGCACATGCAAAAGCTTGAAGAGGCAGGGCATGTGTGGGTGCTGGTGGCATGTGCAGTGTAGCTGGAGAGTAGCATGAGAACGAGGAAACTTTGGGTGATGAGCTAGCTTCACTCCTCAATGCAAGGCTTCATGAATGAAGCTAAGGAGCTCAGATTTTTTCCACCTTTATGCAGATGTAGAGGACTTTTAGCGGGGAATGACATGTTCAGATTGGTTTATTTGAGAGATCATTCTGGCTGCATTTCTATTACTATCCTCCGCATGAATTATGTTTCTGCTAATATTTAATTTGGGAGTTTAGAAAGCACATTCTCTATTATATCGATGTTGTTTCATTGGCTAGTTGGGAATGAATATATGTTATTAGAGTGTTGCATGAAGGAATCAGATACTTTAATATGTTTGTATGTGTGTTATATAAAATACATGGACTATTACATGAAAAATCAGATTTTGAATTACCTCATTTTTAATTTATTCTTTTAAGGTCTGACAGCAGCAGCTGCAGCAGCTGCCGCTGCTACCAATGCAGCTATTGCCGAAGCAATGAAGGTGAAAAAAATCAAATTAGAAGCAATGAGCAACTATCATGCCAGTAATAATCAACATGGAGCAGATTCTGAAAACGGAGACATGAATTCAAGTGTTGGTAAGTTTTATGTTCACTGCAAATTTTTGTGATTGTTTTGCTACCTCATTACTTTCTTTTCCAGAACAAACTATCAGTGACTCATTCAACAAGTTTAGTACTTTTTAGCTTCGAATACAGTATGCATTTTGCCTCTCTAATAACAAGCAGTTTAAGTAAATCATTACCAAGGTTTTTTATTATAAGATCAACTTTATGTCTATAACTTCTCTAAGCATCCAGTTAACATCTTTCATAACACAAATACGTTTTTATAATCAGAAGTTTAAAATACGGATTATAGGTAAGGTGGTAGAAGAATATTTACAAACAAAACCTCACACTTCATCTTTTTTATTTTTTATGCATTTGTTATCAGATAAGAAATTTGCATTAGCAGCAAAACATACAACAATCCTTTCACGTGCTGCCAAGAATAAGAATTATATTGATAATTCTTTCTACATACAACCCTTAAACATTTCTCTCATATTAAACATATAACTCTAATTTTTCTTGATTTTTTTTTCTTTCTTGAGGTATAGAGAAAGAGATGAAAAGTTTATAATCAGTATTTCAACCAAAGGAATAGCTTTCTCTTTGCAGAATTCATTTGGGTAATTTGTTTTATCAAACTTGATTTCGAATATGAGTTAACATTTTTATTGCTATCTTTAGCATCTGTGTGTTGGTGAGATGCAACATTTTATTCCGCCACTGTACTGTATCATTTCCCTTTAAAATGTAGAAACCATGCTCAAAATATAATTTAACAAGAGAAATTTGGATACTACAAGATGTGTGCAACATACTATATCCAACATATATCCACGAGGGACACAGTAATTCATGGCAGTACAATTAAATTTTCTTTTCCCTGCATCATTTTAACAGATTATTTCTTTGGATAATCAACAGCTCTCTACTTTCAGTCCAGTGGCATTTGGTTAGGGATATATGAAGGAATACTATGGATTTTAGAATTAATTTTTCTTGCCACAGTTCTATAGAAGCACACACTAGACATGAATGTTAGAGTGGGAGGTAATTTTGAAATATATACACTAAGCACAAAATACCACGACTTTAGTGATGCCCAAGGGTAGCTTCTAATGGAAAAAGGGAATAATAGAACTTTTTAGCAGAACTCCACAAGGAATATAGGAAAGGAGTGGCCGTATGGGCTTGATTTGAGAGTAGGTTAGAAAGAAGGTAGTGGCCATTCTGAGAAAGATGAAAAGATGTGGAAGAGAGCAAAAGACATGGCCCTAGAGCTGAGAGGAACCAGGGAAAACGTCGGTGCTTGCATTTATGGTGGTCCTGGTGAGAAGGAGGAGGCAGCAGATTGTTTAGGATAGTTTACAGACATACATTTAGACTTTTAAAAGTTAAACACTACTGAAGTAAAATGAAAAATTATAATTCTCTTGAAAACTGTTAAGTACATATTTTTTTAAAAAAATAGAAGTCTTTGACTTTAGCTTGTAAAATATCCAATATTAGATACCTTTAAAAACAAATAATTTGGCCACTTTAAATTTTAATTATCATTTTAAAATATAATCTGGGTTGTTTTCAAAAGTTTGGAAGAATAAGCCTTTAATTCACAGTGTTCTTAATAGTTGGTGTTAGGAAGAGGGATAAACAAATTATGCAATTCAATAACATTTAAAGCAAAATATATTAAAACACGTATCTTTGTTCAAATTTCCTGAGCAACAGAGCAGCAGTAGACTTTGGAGAAACCAATAGACAGAAGATAAGGAGAATATGGCTTATAATTAAGCACTGACATACATTTAATAATCGATATTACAGAATAACATTTGCCTACTGACTGAATTGTATTTCATCTTAATTATTTGGGTACATAGGCTATCATAATGACCTAAAAATATTGAGTTTTCTTTTATGTTTTAATTAAAAGCAATCATTTCTCTTCCACTAAGGTATTTACCTGGTAGTTTATATTGCTTTACAGATTGGACACACACCATCCAATAGCAATTTGAACCAGGAGCAGAAATTTCTTTGAATTGTCCTAGAGGGTTTTAATATTTTGAGATTATGTTAACATTGGTGCTGTTGCTAGTCCAAGTCATGTAGATCATTTATGTTAGATATCTATAGCTGATTTTGGGGGAGAATGTTATCGTCATCATTTTTATTATATTCAGCTGTCCTCTAAGAATTTATGACTTATTTTATTTCCTGAAAGCACCCACCGTCCTCCTTCATTATCTAGAGATCAGGAAAAGAGAGTTTGGGGAAGGGTACAAGGCAATGGTGAGGGTGGGGTTGTGCTTGCATAGGTCGAAGCAGTTGGTTAATTAGTTGTTGCTTTACATGACACTGGTTTCTGATTCTGAGAACAGTGCCTGCCTCTTGGTAAATGTTCGCTAATTATTTGCTCTGTATTTTTAGAAAGTTATGTAAAGTTTCTGAATCTAACATTCTACATCTGGAAAATGGCATAAATAATACCATCTACGTCGTGGGAATTAAAGATTGTATTTGTCAAGTGTTGATCACTTTGTTTATTACATGTCTGCTTATCACCTTGCTTGGTGACCAGTAAGATTTTTCATTTTGGTATTGCTTTTGCTGTTTTTATTACTATTTCTCCAAACTCGCAGTCCTGAAAATTTTCCTTTTTCCTCTTTTCACAGTCATCAACTGTTTCCTCCTCTGTTTTCCTATTCTCTCTGCTAGATATTGTTAAGGTACAGGCAGCTGTTATGTCATTTGGATTTGGTTGTACGTTTGATTTTAGCTCATTCTAGGAACCCAGAAATAATCATGCTACAGTCCCAGCACTCACGAGGAATACAGTCCATGGGCGGGACGGCTAGGTGTGTGGGCAGTCATAACAGGAAGTACTGGATCCTCTAGGAGCATCAGTTAACATGAGCTGCTTAAGAAGTCGTACTGAAGCATAGAAATTCCAAATGGAATCCCAAGAATCTCAGAGGCCTATATTTCAGAATACAAACTTACTGCTCTCATGAATCTATCAGTTGGCTCTTTGAAGTAGTGAAACCCCTGAGAGAGGTGCTACTTAAATGATGTATTGTTGCTACTTAGCTCTGCCCAAATCCAGTGACATTTTTGAAGTCAATCCAGGGTTCTTTTTCTCTTGCACTC